CCCCTCCCCAAATCTAATGAATTTCTTCGCGTTATATTTGGGTGTGTTCAAATTGTCTTCTCCCATCTGTATGTTGACAGGAAACATGTCAAATACTGCCTTTTCTTTGTTGGCACAGAAGGGGGGCAACAGGTGGTGCATCAGCCAGTCATCTCAGTCAGTCGACCCATGGCACCACCTGGGTCTGTCCCATGACCTGCCAGCGGATGTTCGACACTTCACGTGGCCTCAACGTGCACATCGCCTGGCACAAGCGACGTCACCGCCACTTTGTAGCGAATAGCGGCGGTTGTTGTTGTAATTGCATGTATCCGTGTCTCTCTCTGTGCATGTGGGTTGCGGTAGCGTAACAGCTCGTGGTTGCTGCCCATCATCCAACCACCACCTCGTGTGTGTGTGCCAACAGTGGCCGGCCATCACAAAGGTTGCTGCTCGCGAACATGCAAACTTGCCCCGACAGCCTGTTGTTAACGGGAGATGTGGTCGTCTTTAACGCTTAGGGCGCACGCACGCTCGCTAGCGAGTCGAGCGTCCGTGCCGTGGGGGAGCAGGGGAGCCGAGCCCATTGCTCGGAATGAGATGCTGGTTGCCTAGACGACTGCTTACGTCTGCAAGCTGTTTCTCCATCTCCCTCCATTATCTTGCTCTCCGCTGTCCCACCCCTCCCTCCCTCCCCCATCACCGCTGCCCTTCATCATCATCATCCTCCTCCTCCTCCTCCCAACCACTCTCTTTCCCCCTTCTCTTTCTCCCCTCATTTCCTTTTTACCGCTTATTTTCTATCTTGCTGATCTCTCTTTATTTGTTTTGTTGTTGTTGTTGCTGCTACGATTTTCCATTGTTATTTGTCCGTCTGTCTGCCACATCTGCCTCAACACGTTCCGCTGCCGATGCTTCCCCTTCCTCGTGCCCCCCCCCCCCCTCTCTCTCTCAGACTCTCCGTCTTCCTTCATCCTCTTCACGTCGTTGCGTCTCCCTCACCTTGCCCCCCCCCTCCCGTCACGTCCCCCCCCCCGTTCCATCGCGTGCCTCTTTGTTGATTGTTTTTAATTAATTTGCCAAAATAGCAACCGGCCCCCCTCCCCCCTCCCCCCTCTCGCACCCCTCCTCTCACCGCGTAAATTTGCTTGAGCGTCAAATTTTTTTTTAAAGCTCTCATTCGTCTGTTACAGTCCTCGGCTACCCCGATCCACACCTCTCTGCATCTCTCGCAAGAGTGCCAGTCAGTAGCCCCCCCCCCACCGGCACTGTCACCACCTGCTCTGTAAAATGACCTTCAGTGCCCGCAGCGCATGCTCTCTGAAGTTGGTGCACGGCACAACGGCACTTTACAGCTCACTGTGACCGTGGTGGTGGTGACCCAAGGCAGGGCGCTCTGCGTTGTGAAATCCAAATCCACCTCCTAGCCGTCTGCTGGGGAAAAAGACATTGAGCCGAACACGAAGGCACACACTGACCAAGCCACTGACTCAGCCACGAGCCAAGCCACTTAATCGTGAATCCATTCACCAGCAAAGCTGCTGACTCAGTCACTAACTTAATTACCAGTCTAACCACGAACATTGCCATTAGTTTAGGCACCAACACAATTTCCAACTTAAACACTAACCAGGCCACTAACTTATTCAACTAACCTGGTCACTAACCCACAAAGCCCCTGACTCAGCCATTATCTCAGCCACCAAGCCACTGTCCCAGCCACTTACGCAATCAGCCACTACCCCAACCACCCCTTCTCATCCCCATCGCTCTCAAATCCTACTGCCTCTGAATTCAGACTTCACACTCCCACTTTCATTCGCCAGTTCATGTAGCAGAGTCATCTTCATGACACCGAGTGCCACCGCCGGTGAGAAGTGCTGTTAAGCTGTCACGCTGAAATATCGAACGTGCGGTGTGCAGATACGGCCTCTTTCCAGAAATATATTTTTTTGAAGATTGTGACGCTGAAATGGCGCGCACAGGCACGAGAGGGCTCAAAGCGAGCTCACGCGACAATAGGGAGCGCTGCATCCCGACACCCGCCGACTCCTGTCATGGGCTTACGGGCGAGGCACGGTGGTTAAAACCCGACGTGTGTTGGAGGGCACGGGTATCCTCACGGCATTGGGCACGTTTGGCAGTAGATGGTACAATCAAGGAGCAATGGGTATGGGTCGATGAGTGAATAAGTGGACTATTGCTGGGGTCAGGAGCCAACTACGCAGAGAAGTGTGCAAATCAAACATTTGGAGCACCTCGAGTTGAGTAACGTAATTGACCCTTTGAGCAGGTGGGATTTGGGGCTGATCTCGAAGGGGTTTCGTTGAGCAGGGAGCCTCTTTAATTCAAGGAGAGGAGGTGTTTGGGTTTAGGAGGAAACCCTTTGGCTGAACACAAGGTCCATAGTTTCAAAAGGAATGTATTTTTCCTTGGCAGGGAGCGCTGGGATGTATAGGGCATCCCTTGGGTTGTATATTTTACTTTAGGCGTTTGGGCTGAATGTGGGAATCACTCTGGTAAAGTGGAGGGCAAGGGAGGGCATCCTTGTAAAGTTAAGGCAACAGATGCAACAATAAGTGTGAACCCGAATGCGATTGGCAACAAAACCTGGAGTGTTTGAACCCTCGAGCAAATCGCAAGGCGATGCCAGGATTTTGAGCGGTGTTTCAGGACAGGGGCTATGAAAGCAACATCTGAGCAGGAAAGAGAGTCAACAATAGAAAAATAATTTTGACAGTGGAAGCAACATGGTGTTGTCGTTAGCCTGCCTACGGTCTGATCGGTTGGTTGGCTCCGACAGGAAAATACCACTGTATAAAGCCACCCACCCCACGAAATTGCTTTTGTGCTGTTTTACATCTTCATTACTCGCCACCTGCCAGAGCGGCGTGTCAAGAGGTGATGGGGGTTTCGGAGGGTGGGAGTGGTGCGGAAATGCGGTGAGATGGAGTGGCCACGGCTGTTCGGGGGAGGGAGAGGTGTACGGGAGGCTGCGCATGACCTCGCCGGGGCGGTACGGTTCGGGGAGAGGGAAGGCGCTGTCGTTTGCATGCAAGTAGTCGGGTTATTGCCTCCGAAGCAGATTACAATAAGATGCCTTCGTCAATCAAGCGGAAGACGCTCAGTAGGTGGGAGGTGACCATGAAGTGATAGTGCACTTGGACTTGCAAAGTCCAGAGGTCACCGGTTCGATTCGATCTGCCGGCGTGGCAGTTGAAACGGCGGTGGAGCGTTTTTTAAAATGCCCTCCGACCTTCGTCCGCCCCGAGAGTATAAATGGGCACACCACATTTAGTTGATTGGCGGGTCATGTGTGATGGAACTAATGGGTAGTTCCCACCTCTTTCAAGATGTTTGGCCATATCAGTGTGAAAGCAGTGCTGTGAGCAAGCAATTACAGTGCTGTGCCTTTACTATTTTATGCGGCATACACGTGAATCATTGCTTTGCGCCAAAAGATATTTAATACCAGAATTTCACGACTGTTAATTGTTGTGCACTTTAATACTGAACCTGTTGCTCAAGTTGCAATGTTTTTTCCATATTTGGGGCCATGACAGCAGAACAGAACCACTCGCTCTTGTAAATCATGTGACGGTGGGGGGGGTTCTTTTATTTTCATATTGGTAGGAATATCAGCCATAATTATAATCACTGATAATTATCAGTCAGAATTACCACTGGAAACACTACACCGTTGCAATCATCCGCCTCGGTGGCAAGCTGTGGCTACCTTAACTGCGAGGCTATTTCGTCAACCTTAATCTTTTACAAATAAATAAACACACTCAGAAACATCTGGCCTATTTTGTTCCAACTCGGGTCCTGACCCATTTGACTGTTCGCTCCCCGTGCCGCTTCCAGGCTGAGTTGGGTCACGACCCGGCGTCGCGCGGCCCAGTGCCGTTGGATTAATCTGACCTCGAGGCGAGGGCGACTTGTTAGCTGAAGGCCTGCACTCCTGATAACTTAACCGGCGAGTTGGGCGGGCGCATGAAACCCTTCTCTCCCCCGAGCTGCGAAGGGGGGGGGGGGGTGAGGAGAGGCGAGGGGGTTGAGAGAAGAGCGTGGGAATAGAGGTGATGCTTAAGTGTTGAGGTTGTGGCTTCATTAGGGCCGCGTGCAAGAGGAAGAGTCGTTAACTTGGTCGTAAGCGGCGTGTGCGCTGTGCGACCAGTGATTCTGTTTGACGCGTACATTCGCCATCCTGCCTGACGGGGCTCTGGCTATGAGTGCTTGAGAAATGCAATCAAATAGTTGCGGATTTGAAATCTCGGTCGGAATTTGACTTTTTTATCGTCTCTCTGGGTCAATGAAATGAGTGCCACTTTCTTGTCCTATGTAATGGCTGGACCGCTTGCCAAAAGAATAGATTTTGTCAGGAGATGCGTGCATTTTTACATCAAATTGTGATTCAGCCGAATTCACACGGTCTGTGAGTTGTCTTCTCAAAGTTTGGTGACCTTCTAAATAATTGCCAGGGACAGGGCCTTCTTTGCAATTGAGTGACTCTGATCGGTAATTCATTTGTGCGCAACACTGGAGATTCCAAATTGTATATCTGCCACATCTGCCACCTCTACCACCTCAGATGCCTGTTTAACTCCGCAGGTGTTCGCCCTTTAATTGGGATCACACCATCGTGTGCGTTGCGCTAATGCAGGTTGGGAGACGTTTTTTGTTTATTGGCAAAGTTGTGCAACAGAGATAGCCACGGTATTATTAGCCAGACAATGTGCACCTTTGTCCTTTTCAAGTGTATTTAATGTTTCGCTCTTGGACTATGAGATACGCGCATCAAATCGTATATGTGTGCCAATCAAGAACACTCACATTTCTGTAGGTTGCAGCCTCCACCTCCGATTCGCACGATTGGCCCACGTACGGTGCGAAAGAAGCTCCACATGCAGTGCATAACAAAGCGTGCGACACGTGCGTCCGAAATAGTGGAACTGGCAAGAAGCCTCCGAAGGAACTCACAGCACGAACGCCGCTCTTGTTGTCGTTTCCCTGCGCAGGCGGACGCCAAGATGGTGTGCGACGTCGTGAGCCGCATGGAAGACACGGAGCCATACTCGCCCGAGCTGCTGGGCGCCATGAAGCGTCTGTGGAACGACTCGGGCATGCAGGAGTGCTTTAACCGAGCACGAGAGTACCAGCTCAACGACTCCGCCAAATAGTGAGTTCGCGTCTCGCTCACAACGTACGGAGCCAGAGGGGTATCGCGCCGTCCAGCATTTCGCTCTGTACGCGCGCCGAACTCCTTCCGCGCCGTACGTAGCCGACCCGCGCTAATCGGAGGTGCGGGAAGTCAACAGTGCCATGTTGCTGGGGAGAGGTTGACCATGGCTGGAGAAATATGATGTTTCCACCAATAAGGATGAGCGCAACCCCAGCACTCGATGGCTCGATTGCTCGAAAGCTCGATTACAGCAGGGACTCGACTTGGTCTATTTCATTCTTGCAAATCCACAAATCCCAAAAAAATGACCTCAACAGATTTGTTTACATGATGCATGTAATATTATTACATTTTCTGATTTAACCATTTATACTGTGTGTGTGTGTGCGAATACTGCCATGGTATCATGGTTATTAATCCAGAGGTCGCTGGTTCGCACTTCCACCTCTTCTAAGATATCTGTCCAGCGTGGAAGAGGAGTTGAACATCACATCCTACGGAGAGGCACTCTTAGAGCTCTTAGAGTTCCCTACAGTTGAGGTCCTTCCGCCAGCAGTTGGCGCTGCGAGCGAGCGTTTTCAAGGCCGTAGCTTGACCTGTAACTGTGTGCGTGTGTCGCGTGCTCGCCACAGCTACCTAGACAGCCTGGATCGTATCGGGGCGGAGAGCTACCAGCCCACAGAGCAAGACATCCTGCGGACACGCGTCAAGACCACTGGCATCGTGGAGACGCACTTCACCTTCAAAAACCTGCACTTCCGGTCAGCTGATCCACATACACGCAAAGGCAAAGATCCCCCATATGACCATAACAGACTGTTGGGGCAAGTGCTGTTAGCGAGCAACTAGTGAAGTTCGGCACGGCACAAGACGGGGTGGGTGGCCAGCACCATGCCCGGGTCTCCTGATCAGCGACATTTGCACAATGCACCAGGTACTCATTTGAGGCCGATTGAACCTAGAGGAGGCCCTGGACCGGTTCAGATAATCATCACTGGCGTTGGCCATGAGCGGGAATCCAACTCGTGTCACCGGGTTCGTAGTGCAGCGCACTAGCCACTGCGCACCACTCCCCACAAATTCACACACACGATCGCACGTGCACCGATGAGCGCTCAATTGCACAAATACCGTAGTAGATGTATTGTGGATCCCATTCCGGAAGAACATGTTGGCCTGTTCTCGTGAACAGTGCTATGGAATTTTTCAACATTCATTCATCAAATTCTCACAGAAATGAATTGGGATTCGAACGAGTGAACCCTGAACTTTGGGAAAATCGCCCAACGCTGCAGGTCACAATGCCAACTCTCCGTTCATATCCGCAGAACAAAGAGATATTGTGAAATATATAAACTCCTCGCGCAGATCTCCCCGCAGCCAAAGTCATTCGCCATTTCCACCCCTCCTCCCGCCACTGAGAGGCACGCATGATCTCTTGACTATATTCATTCAAAATTAGCGGCCTTTCCGCGGGAGCGGCGACAACAACGGGCGCTGTTAGCTGTCGCTGCGCGTGTCACATCGATCGTCGCGGCCGGCGCAGATGACGTCACAAGGCGTGAGCGCACGCACGCTCTAAACGCATCGGGCGGGCACTTCTAAATGGGAATAGCACCAGCACTCAAACCGAGTAGTCGTCTTCTATTGAATTTATTTTAGAAAAATTATTTCAACATAACACAAGCCCAGTACAAATCACCGGTACGGTGGGGAGGGGGGGGGGTTTGGGGGGGAACAGGAACTCCACGAAGAAAATTTCGAAATTGGTGAAATTGGTGCGGCTTTACGAAGGGGGGAACATTTGGGCTCTCCGCCCCAGGTGGGGACCGCGGGTAAGATAACCAACATAACGGGGTGGAGGGAGATGGGGAAATGGTGGGGAGAGGGGGGTAAAGGGAGGGAGACAGGGGTGGGAGACAGGGGAACAAAAACAGGGATGGCTAAAGGGGGGTGAGTTTTCTTCGCTTTAAAAAATGTGCCCGATTCTCGCTTGAGCGATTGAACGTTGGGAGCTCAAGAACGTGCCGTGGGCGGGCGTCGTTCGCGAGCGATTTGCGGGTGCACAGCGGCGCTCCGTTTCACGTGAGGACGCCTGGTTCACTTGGACCCTGTTTTAGATCGGTCTCCATTAGCATTAGGATTTGTCGCTCATCAAAGCTACGTCATGTCATCAGGCTTACGAATCGACTTTATATGCGCATTCTGTGGGAGTGTGCTCTCCCGACCAGTGTCAAATTTGCAGATGTTTATGGGTGATAAACTAAACGACCTACCTGCTTATACTCTACGTTTCACAATATAAGCATGGTTTAGCAAATCTCTATTTGGGTTTTTATGTTCAAATGAAGGTCCTTTCTGTTAATTTGTTCTGTCCTGCTCATCGTGCAGATAGGAGATGAGTTCACACTGCTTTTGAGCTCCGGAAAACGTCCCGTGTGTATTTAAAAGTAGATAATCTGTTTTTTTAAATGGTGAGTTGCAAATGATCATAAACGAAAAAGAACGTGAAAAAAAAAAAAATTCAGAATGCATTTACATATCTACGGATTAATAGGTTCGCACTGGCAGTGTATTAATGCGAAATCGTGTCTTGTCTGTCGTGCACGACACACGTGTGCGTGCATGCTAACAATTTGGTTTCCTCCCATTCAAGAAAAAAATCTCACTCTTTTTTGGCATGATAGATTTTTTTTTTTGCAATAATATAACCACTCTCCAATTTAATAACCATTACACATGAAACAGCGTCTGGATAAACTGATTTATCACAGCCCCAAGCTTTTCACTTAATATTGAATAGTATTATTGTTTTATTAATTGTTTTCAGATTTAGCAATAGTGTAACGATTCGCACATTGGACGACCAGTCCAGAGGTCACCACCACTTTGTTCCCCCGGCTTGACAGTTGAAACAATTAAGCAAGGATCAAAAATCCCTCTGCCTCTGTCTCCCGAGCAGTATAAATGGGTACAACGCAATGAATTTGCAGGTCACGTGTGGTGGGATGAAGTGTGGGTAATCACACCTCTTCCAAAACGTCTGGCCAGCGTGGGAAAATGGGCCGAAAAAAAATCCTCTTGAGGGGCTCTCTAATCACTCCGTCTCGTGGAGGCCCTGCCAGCGGCAGTGATGTGTGCAAGGAATTTCAGTTGATAGTATTATTGCACAGAGTACAGACACATGAATGTATTGTAATTTAAAGCCTGTATATGTGCAGTGTATAAAGATCTCGAGTCTGAGAAGTGAAAAGTAGGGGTAATAATAAATCTAGATGTGTTACTTGATTTTAAAATTCAGCAACTCATAACTCTTAGATGGTATTCTATAATGTGCCATAAATGCTTGGAAACGGGACATAACGTGACATTATTTCTAAGTGCCATTGTCATACCTTCACCTCCATCGACACTTATCCACTGCAGTGATTTTATTCGGTGGCAGAGATGGTTAGAGTGCACAACGGGCTTGTCAGACAGGGCCGCCTGTTCAAATCTTAGTCACGCATCATCAGATCACACACTCATTTGTCCAGGGTCAAAAAAATGTGTCCCTCTGCGGATAAATTTGCTTGACACTCTGACTTGTTTAATCACAGTGTATACATGATTCTCATTTTACCCAATACTCATTGTGTCGTTTTTTATACATAAAAAAAACTAGAAAAATGGTTTGCAAAAAATGTTGGTTTTTTTTTATCATAACTTCCAGATGGTCTGAGTTCAACAAAATGGATGCAAGTGAAATCCGTTTCAGACCAAGTTGTGACGTATTTGCTGCCCTGAGCTCAGGCTCACAGGGGCAGCTGGCTTAGGGTTCAGGCAGCTTGAATTAATAACGTTAGTGACACCACCGCAATGAGCCGCAGAATACTCAAACTTAACAACTAAATCACCCTGAATGCTCCCGATTTCATCGGATCTCAGAAGCTAAGCAATATTGATTTTGGGCAGTACGTGGATGAGTGACCACCAAGGATTATCTGGTGTAAGGGCTGCAAGGTGGCCAGCTGGCTATACAAGTGGGTTCAGTGCACAGATGACCTCTCTGTGGATTGACACGCCAGTAAAAACTCAGCTAAGCGGACTTAATTGAACTATTTTTATTTTACCAGGTAAGGACCAATATGCTCTACAGCTCCTTTTCAGAAGCACCCTGGCCACAAGTGATAGCTCAATGAAGTGGCTTATCACGTGGAAATGTATAGCAGCCATATACTCAAAACGCATGTTTCTAAATGCGGAAGCAAAAACCAGAGGACCCGTAAAAAAAACCATGTGACCACAGGGAGAACATGCAAACTCCAAATATACAGATATCAAGATTGGGATCGAACCTACAACCTCCTGTATACCTGGCGATGTAGTTAACATCTCGGGAGCACTGGTCCGGCTATCTGAAAACTCTGGCTAGCCGCAATTTTAATGCAAATGTACATTATGTTTTTAAAAAAGGTCAACGTACAGCTTATGCAATACACATATTAGGGTGCGTCACATAAGCGGCCCGACGGATTTGAACCGCGAGATGCCCTACCATCTCCCCTTATTGATGATTGCGGTGGCGGCGGCGGCGGCGGCGGCGGTGGTGTGCCTCCCTGTAGGCTTTTTGACGTGGGGGGACAGCGTTCGGAGAGGAAAAAGTGGATCCACTGCTTTGAGGACGTGACGGCCATCATCTTCTGTGTGGCCCTGAGCGGCTACGACCAGGTGCTGCACGAGGACGAGACCACGGTACGTGCGACGATCGCTCACCTTCGCTCGCGCGCATTTCACTGCCATACGTGTGCGCACGTGCACGCCAGTGCACGGGGAGTGGTGCTCTGGTGGATAGCGCTGTGCACTTCGAACCGGGATGTACGAGTTCTATTACCAGCCAAGCCTAGTGCTGGTCACACCACCCCCTTGTGTGCCGTAACGGCCTTTATAGGTGCTTGCTAACAGCACCCCAGGGGTCTGTGTAGGCTACATGGGCGATCTTTGTGAGCGTATGTATATGGTGTGTGAGCAGTAGTTAGTGCACTGCACCACAATCCTGGGGACCACGGTTCTATTCTCAGCCATTGCTAACAACAGCGGCGAGTGCTCACAGAACTACCCTAACATCAATAATTATTCATTTAACCAGGGATACATAAGAGTCCTAGGTATCTCTTTCAGGAGGGTCCTGCATTGGGTGTTAATTTTAAGATGTTTTCAGCCAATTTAAAAGTGTTTATAATGCAACCGGGAGGAAACCGGAACACCCACAGAAAACCTGCACATGCAAGGGGGCAACACTATATCCCCGTACAGATGGAAACAGATGGATATTAGTCCACTTGCCATACAGATGCCTTCTCCTGGCGAGCCGGGGTATGGCACCTCAACGCCCACGGGAAGGGAGTTTCACAACATCTGTGTACGGTCCACCAACCCTCACCTCCGCCGTGCTGGATTACAGGTGTGCATTGCCACTGCCCCCCCCCCCCCCCTGGTGAGCTGTGCATCATCACACGGGCACCTGGGGCGGGATGTAAGCATCAGCACTGGGGAGACAAACGCGGCCGGGTGTAATACTGGCTGCACCACCAGGTTGTCCTCCGTGCTGGCATTAATAGGTGATCCCTGCTAGCACTTGCCCCACCCCCCCGCCCCCACCCCACATCAATCTGTGTGCATATAACCAGGGATCTTTTCCCTTTGTCTTTGCGTATACGCTTGGATTGTTCTGTCGAGGATGGCCGCTTCGTATGGTTCCTATTTGTACTGACCCCAGGAGCTCGCCTTGAGACACATTGTACGAATAGGCTGCAAGACCGATGCGACTCGTGTTTATGACGGTGATGGCGATGATGATGATGCTTCTAACGTACCAGTGTATGCATAACCGCTGTACGCGTATCGGCGCGTTTACAAGTGTGTGTACGTGTGCGTGTGTACAGGTGTGATCATACATGTGAACATTTGCATATGGCTGTGTTTTTGCCTGACTAATAATTGCACGGTGCACACAAGCGTATGTTCTTGTTCAACTAACCGGGTTGCTCTTATGCACATGCAAGTTTGTCCGTGTGTGTGTGTGTGTGTTTATTGCATTCGATACAGGTTCGAGAGGGGCCACCTGTTCAATAGGTGGCCACAAACTGGTTCCCCTATAGATCTGTGCATGTGTCAATGAATAACTGGATGTGTGTCTGCACAAGTGTCTGAATATAAGAAATGATAGGCGTGTGTGTGCGCGCGCGCGCGCAAACTATACACTCCGATGTGTGTGTGTACTTGCCCAGTTGGATACGCTCACTTTTAACCTCTGCTTGTGTCCACTACGGGGCCTTGTATCTGCGCGAAACGAGGCGCTGCGTTGCAGCACAATGGAGGTGCTCACTCACGGTGAATTGAACAATGCCAAGCTACAGCGTGTCGCCTGACCGCTGCGGCGTGTGTTAACACCACCGAGGTGTGTTGTGCCTGCTGCGGGTGCCAACCCGAGCCACCGTCCTTTCACACCGCCCCCGTCTGAAAGTGTGCAATTTTCGGGCGGTGACTTGTGTGAAAGCAGCTACATCGTGGGTGTGATAACACTTGGAAGTAGATCAACGGTTTCATCTTTTGTGCGGCTGGCCAGGCCGAGTGTCATGCAAGACACAATAGATGTGCCACGATTATCTTTGAAGAGTTCCCCAGCAGGGTTTTTATTTATTCTATGAAATGTTATGCCAACCGGTGCCATCTTTTAGATCTCTTCGAAGCCGTTGGCAAAACAAAGTTTTGACGGATTTATTCGCCACAAATGAGCTCGGACTCGGTGTCCTTGTTCAAACGCTGACGGAGGTGAGAGACAGACCAGAGATGGGTTTAGCAGGCGACTGAGGAGACTGAGCAAGTGGCCCCGATTTGTTCCACGTTAAAAAAAATAAAAGTTCCCGCTGTGACACGTACGTTCGCCTCCATAGCTGTTTCGTGAACAGACAGCATAGCCAAGGTGGCTCATGTGCCACACTTAGCAGTAAAAGCCCATGCGTGATTTCCTAAGCAAATGCCTGGTACAAATGAGACTTCTGCTGTTGGTCTAATGCTGTCTTTTTACTCTCTTAAATATACCCTTCTTAACTGGCTGAAGGCAGCGGTGCGTTCGCCTCTTTTATAATGCCTGGTATGACCATGAAAACTTGCTGTTGTGGTCAAGTCCTTTGCTTGGACAGTCAAAATCTTAATCCCCATCCCAACATAATGTCCCGGAAGATTTGAGTAAAGGGTCGTGTCTATTATGAAAACACCTTGCACACAGAGCAGCGGCTCCCTGCAAGCCGTAGCATGCTGTTCATCCCCAGCGAGGGTCAAACATTGCTCAAGTGTTGGCGAGATTCATTACCGCAGTGCAACATCACAAGCACAGCCAGGCAGCTGTGAATTAGATGGCTTTTGTTGAATGTCATTCGCGGACAATTTGAGAATGTCGTATCCTTCAGTCGCATCACGGGGTCCAATGTTACCACCCCTGTGCATTAGCGATGTGTGCGTTAGCAATGTGTCCTTATGTAATTTCCACTGGTTATGATTAAATGGTCCATGTGTGATTATCGCCATCAAATCCATCAGCTGGTTGACATGCGTGCGGGCAGCGTGCTTAGCTTGCACAACCATCAGCATTGCATTTCAGCACTTTAACTATAACTTAGCAGTGCCATATTTTGCTCGTGTGCGACTGGTAGGGTGAGATCGATTGCTGCAATGCATTTTAGCCTTCCGTTAATTTTCCACTGCAGATGAACGTTTAATGGGGAAATCGAGTTGCAATGACAAAGAACGTGATAAAGACATTGAGAGAAGCAAAAAAACAAAGAGACGACAAGCTTTAATTAAATAAAACCCCGGTCCTTTGCAGTTTCAGCATTCATAAAATATAATGCAATTCTCTTCCTTAGAGAGATACAATTTTGATGTAAATTAACCGGCGGCGGTGGTTTGAAATTATTATATTTTGCAGGTCACATGGCCTTGCTTGACAGGACCATTACAATGAATGTGAATAATACACCTTCAACTGCTTTAGAAATTTTTGCAAATGTCAACAATGTAGGATCACACCTGCATCAGCATAGGCCACGGCTTTCGGGTCGTAATGTACGTTGCTCAGCACGATTTCCGACGTGCCAAACCCTACGCGGAAACACGGGCACATTTAGCTCCTGAATCCTTCCCATGACAATTTTTTCCCAATAATTTAAATCACAATGGTTAGAATTCGAGGCACGCCTCGCATCAAGGCATGTGTCAATTTATGGGTGGCAAGAAAGGTCAAATGACAAACGCTTCAATAATTGATTTCCAAACGCCTCTCTGCTTTTCCGATTAGCACAGTTGGCTAACTACGGTGCAAAAAAAGTTCAACATACATCTGTCAGGCATGAGCGAAAATCGAGACGGTAAGTTGTCCGTACCTTGAAAATCCAGAAAAATGCTTCAGGGATAAGCTCAGTAAGGGCATTGACACAGCAAATGTCCATAGGTATTTCCATGGCAAGGAAGGGAAAGCGCAGTGGAAAGCCACGCGAGTTTGCAATCACTTACAAAGGTCACAGGCAGGTAGCCATGTATTATTCACGATTCACCCAAAGCGAGACCATTCAATCGTACATTCAATTCAGACAGTAGGCTCCTATTTATCACCCAACATCGCTGCTCACCATTGCGTATTCGCCACCCTCGCTGACGCGAGTGGGTGGGGGGGGGGTAGTGACGATGTATCGTGGTTGAGAGGAGTTGTGACCCTGACCTGAAATCCGGAGGCTCGTTTCCACGGCCGAGCCCTCCCGTGCCGCCGCATGTCATCCATTTTCAGATCGCCGCTGTCGGCTCTTCTGTGCGGCACCGGGGATGAGTGCAGATTTGCGCGGCCACGCGATGGTCAGCTCCGGCGATTACGTGCGCGTGACAGATTAATACGCACACGCCGAGTTAAACCGCGGATTATTATTAAATATTCATCGACCGTCGAAACGCCAAATGGCTAACATTAATACTGCATTTAAATCCGTCTGGACTTATTGCTCGATGTTCTTTGGCATTTATAGCTACAAAGAGCGTCCAACTGGCAGATGAGAACAAATATTTTAGTGGCGTATATCCTGGACGTCTATATGGCTGTTTAAATATCTAATACATATTGGCAGATGACGGTGATTTAGTGACTGAAGTTTGCTACGAATGTTTGTCCATGCTACTTCTATAAAATTACCACAGGCATTGTTTTAAATGTAGGCCTCTAAATATTCCAGCCCGAAGGTTGACCGGTTCTCTTCGTTGTGCATGGTCAACCCACAGTTCTAAAATGCTTTATACCTCGCACGCTAAACACTTGCAAATATGCCACCACCTTAGTGACGCAATAAATGTGCTTCCTACAGTGTGACCCCGAAGGTTATAGAAAGCAGCCGTAGCCCATTGCCCAGTTACGAATATTGTGGTGTGCATAGTAGTTAGTTATTAACATATGCGTATAGCAAATCTAAATAATGTACAATATTCACTCAATGGGGTGGGGGCTGTGACGCCCTACCAAGGTGGGGAAGTATAGCCCAACAGCCCCCATGACATGACTGATGCAACATTGCAAAGCTTTCGTTCAGCATTAGGTTGACAAAGAACTTGTAAACTATTTTTAGCATTGTTATTGTAATTAGGGAGACATAGAACTTCTCCTGCTGATAACGCATCCTGACACCGTATACGGACGTATATTAATTATGAAT